TTCAGAAAGGCAGACACGCAACAAAAGCAGCTGTAAGTTCAAAACCACCAGCACGGTGGACCAATGCAGGCCTAATGCTGTAAAGTTGATCATTTGTTCATTCGTTCAAACGCCTGGGCCCTAATGCAGGATGCTGATGCAGATGTGGCCATGGCTGGGATGCAGATGTGGCGGGCCCCAGCTGAGCAGGCATGAGATGATGCTGGAGTGTTTCCCAGCAGTTTGAGGGCTGCTGGCCAGGCTGGGATAGAATTCAGCACACTCACAGCACCATTGGCCTGGACAGGCCCAGCCACCATGAGCCACTTGGAGGAACCAGAGCCCCCACTGCTCTTCACCACTCTCTGAGGTGTCACGTAATACGCTTTCAATATAGGTGAGGAGACTGAAGCTCACGCAGGTAACTAATAGCCTGGGTTGTACGCTGGATTCCATGAAGTCAGAACTCCACCTGCCCCAGCGTCACTCTGAAGACACTCAGGCATCCCTGGGGAAAAGAGGGGGGCCTGCAAGTGCCAGGACTGCATCCCCAAATATGATGTGAATGCTGCAGGTGAGGACCTTAAAAGGACACCTTTCTGCTTCAAGGTGGCAGCATCACAGGCTTGGCTGGGCTTCAGGAGGGGAGGAGAACAGCAGAGGGCAGGTGGTTGGACAGGTGGTACAGCAGACCAGAGAGGACAGCCTCCACCCCCAGGTAAGCCCAGCAATGGAGAGAAGCCCAGAGGCTTGTGGGGAGTCCACCTGCCTCACCAGCAATGGTCCCCAGGATGGAAGCCAGGCTCGGAATGCCAGGTCCTGAAACAGACCACTCCAACATTCAGCAGTGTGACCTTGGTATGCCTGCCTCCCCAACTTCAGCAATCTCCAAAGATGGCAGCCATATGTGGACTTCAGCAGGACAGATACTGGAGAGCTCAGGGTGGGGCTGAGTACCCAGGTGTCAACCAGGGCCCTGGCCTCTCCTGGACCAACTTTCCAGTAAAGCCCTGGACACCATGCTTCAATGACAGAAATCTAAGAGCATTGCAAGGACCCCAGAAAAGCCTCTGGAGGCATCTGAATTCGGCTGCTCCCTACAGCCAGACAATCCCAACCCCAGCACAGGAGTTGCCCAGGCCACTCCCAACTGTCAAAGAAACCTGACCATTGGGGAACAACAGGTCCCCAGGATCAAAATTGCTCACTGACTCCAAACCCAGGTTCTTCTGTAGGTACCTGCATACACACAACCTGCCATTCCTGAGGCCTGGCATCCCTGGGCAGCCGAGACCCACAAACCCAAGGTGGGCCTCATCCACAGCAAGATGTCCCAGGGCTACCAGGCCAGCACCGTCAGCCACTCCTCAGCAGACCTAGAGCCCCCACAAGCATTTCTTCCAGTTGTCACATGCTGTCCCCCTGCCCAACAATGGCCAGATGGCTGGTGGCTAGTTGCTACTACTCACATCCCCACCCATCTGCCCACCTTCTCCTGGCTGTGGGCCCCAGCAGACTGCAGATGGCATGCCTGGTTAGCAGGCAGACTGGCAGGAGACTAGAGGGTAGGAGGCTCCTTTCTCCTACCTTCTTGCCCTGGCCAGGCACTGTTACCCTCCCTACATGGGCCACAGCTTCTTCTGGCTCCCTCCCAATTCTACTCTCTCAGTACTCAGGTTCCCCGTGGGCCTGGATGTGAAGCTGATCCCTGGATTTGTCACCATCGCCATGGTCCCTTCAATCCTGCCCACACAGTGAGCATCCCCCAGCACACTCTGACCAGAGAGCCACCAAGACAGCCAGCTGCTTCCTCTGAGGATTCAGGAGGACAGCCAGGGCCTGGTCAGGTGCAGGAATTGATGGGCAGAGCCTGGGCACAGTTTAATCACAAAGATAACCACTCACATCTCATCTATGGTCATCTAGCTCAGGTAATCCCTGCAGGTCCTGGTGGCCTCGCACTGACAGTCCTGTCCCCTTCTTGTGTGTAGTTCTCAGGAAGAACTGTAGAATGTGCCTGGAGAAAAGATTCTGAGATAGGAAGGGACTGTCCAAAGCAGTGTGGGCTCTGGCCCTGTGTTCCCAAAGAACATCACCTCTCAAGATTGTGAGGAACTTCCCGGATGACCTTGGCTTTGTTCCTGTATCCCCTGCAAGCAAAGTGTTTTTGCTCAGTGAGTCTCATGGGCCCTGAGGTGTACTGACCAGAGCTGGCTGCCCTGCAGGTCCCCGGGCTGAGGTGTAAAATGGGCATATGTAGCAGAGAATCCATCTGCCCAGGACAACTTTCTCAAGCTTTGGAGAACTGGCTCAAGATGATCAGAATTCTTTTGTCCCCTGCTGCCTCTCTGTAAGTGACAAGCTCTCTAGGCATAACTTGTTTTATGTGTTCTGCCTCGCTGGACTAAAATAGGTAGCCAGCACATGGTGGATCTAAACAGTGGCCCAGGATTCAAGGCAAAGGACAACATGGACTCCTGCTTCCAGTGGATGGCACAGCCATGCTCTTTGTTATCCTCTCTTGGGGTTGGTAATCAGAGAACCTGCTCCATAATCTCACCACCCCAGAGGAGGTAGGGGGCTACCCCACAGCTTACTGTCGGAGAACTCCACTAACCCACCGTGGATACCACATCCCCCATAAGAGATGGGTCTGGCACTCCCACCTGTCCCTCGACCTGCCTGACAGAAGAGGGTGTTTACTGTGACTCAGTTTCCCTGAAGATTCTTGCTGAGTCATAAGGATGAAAGCGAGCCAGCGTGGTGGGGGCACAGGAGGATCTTGAGTTCAAGGCCAGCTTGGGCTATGTAGTGAGACAAACTGTCTCAAAAAAAAAAAAGGTAAGAGCAGCATAGAGCCGCCTTCTGTGCTGGTGCCATAGGCCTGAAGGCAGGCAGTGCCCTGTGAATGGAGCACTCACCCTGGCCTAGGGCTCAGCAGCTCAGGGTCTACACTCACACACTTGGTCTTTGGGCCTGAGAATAGGCCAGGACAGTATTACTGGGACATCCAATAATAGATGATCAGTTTGCCTGGATGTCACATGTCAACTCTGCACCCAGTGAGAGTTGATCTGTTCACCTGAAGACCAGGGGATGGGCACTAAACTGCCCCTACCAACCTCACACATGGTCCTGTGGATGGTCAGCTAGCCTACACATGCCTCCAGCCTGACCTGGGGGCACAGACAGCTGTCCTCACTGATGTCTGGTCAGCCAGGCCACTGGGGAGCCCTGCCTGCCCCTCTCAAAGCCCTTCACACACACACTGCCCAGGAAGGCTGAGGTTCCATGGTAGATCAAAAACAAACCATTTCCAAAACATATTTAGAGGAATCAGACCAGACCACTGCAGGAACCAGGTGGGTACAAGCCCCAGGTGGGCTCCAGGCTCAGACCCCAGCTCCATCACTTACCCCATCTCAGTTCATCTTCCTGGAAGCATACAGGGCACTGGGATGGGCCAGCGCGGTAAACAGTAAATACAGTATCCACTGTCCTCATCAGTATGCACAAAAACCACCAGTGGGAGGGGAGGCTGGTAAGGATAAGCACCCAAATAATAAGTGTCCTTCCTGGTAACAGCACCCTCCCCAAGTGGCTGGGTCTCCACAGACAGCACTGGCCCAGGAGTTGGACTGATTTGGGAACTGGGGCTGTGGCTGCATGACAAAGGCCAAAGTCAGAACCTAGGACTCCCCACCCATGTCCCCCCACCACCAAGGACAGCGAAGGCAGGACCCCTGCTCAGATGGGAGCAGCCACCAGGGGGGCACACATCTGGGCTGGCCCAGGGAGAGGCACCAAGCTGTTCTGCAGAAGGGGGCTGGTGGGGGGGGGGGACAGGGCAGCAGGGAGAGTGTGGGGCCGGGGCAGTGCCTTGGAGAGTTGAGAAGGACAGGTGTAGGACCCACCCAGTCTACAGTGGTTGGGACTGGCACCTAGAAAGTAGAGGGCAGGGCTGGGGTCCCACAGCCTGTGAGTGACAGCAGCCTCCCTTAAGGCCAGGAAGTGAGGAGGTCAGTAGTGTCCCCTCATGGGAAAGGAGCAAGGCTGGACCAGACCGCACACAGGGAGAATAAGCCAGGATGAGCTCCTGCCCATAGCAGACCCTCTCCATGCAGGCAGGAGGTGTGTCCCCTCCACCCTCATGACAACCTCCCTCCCACTGGTAGAAATGGCTCCCTTCACTGCCTGGTGGCTCTTTGGCCAGCCCTGGCCCACAGACTCTCTCAAGGCAGGGTAGACCCATCCCCGCTTCTGGTTCACTCCAATCACTGTCCCTTTAGGGTCCTGAACCCCAGACCCAGCCTGGAGACATGCAACTCCTGCTGGGGTCAAGCAGTCTCAAAGATAATCAGCACTAGCTAAGCAGGCCTTGGTTCCAGTGCCCCAAGGCCTTCCAGCCCCAGCCTCAGCTGCACTCTGGGTTATTAATTCTGAGAGCCACCACTGACACCATACAACCCTAACTGAGCTCTGCAGGATGATGCCAGGCAGGAAGCACGTGTGTTTGCTTCCTGGCCCCCTGTGGTCCTGACATGGGATGCAGCTGGGAGCTCCCCTCAATTCCCTTTCAGGGTGCCTCTTCAGCTAGATATAACAGACTTAACCAAGGCAGGGAAAGGTGACAAAATTCCACCTCCTGGGAAACTCAAGGACAGGCCTAGCACATCACCTGACAGCAGACCCTGAAGCTGGACAGGGCACCCACAAGTCACCACCCAAAGCTCCTGAAAGAGCAGTGCTTTATAGTGTCCAGATGTTCTGGTCAGACCAGGTCATGAAAACTTATCCACACCTAAGAGTCACATGTCAATTCTGAGAAGTTGTGAGCCTTGCTAGATTTTTGTTTGAAATGCTTTTATAACAAGTGTTACCCAAAACGGTGTTTGTTAAGAAATGTGCTTATGCAAGCCCACGCCTTTGCAGCTTCCCAGACCATCTGGTCAATCGGGGCCGAGAGCAGCTTTAGATCTTAGGATTGGTTTAGACACCCCAATAAAAACAATCCCTGGCACCTGCTGTCTTGTCAGGCAGTGCTCCTTCTCCGGCAGTTCTCCTTCTCCCAGCCTCACTTCTCTCACTTGCAATAGAAGCTGAGACCAGCTCAGAGGTGCAGCCATAGCCTGGAAGAGCCAGCAGCATTCCCTGCAGCCACTGACAACATTGAAAGTCTGCAGGGCTCAGCAGAGCTGGGCAGCTCATGAGAAAACCTCTAACTGCAAAGGGTCCCGTTGCAAGCAGAGTCACCACCCTTGGGGCCTCCATCTCCTGTCAAGAGGAGACAGACCCCATGGAGGAAGGAGAGGCTGCAGAGAAGCCAGACTCCAGCCCTGAGACCAGGTGGGGTTGGCCCTGTGAGGACAAGTTCTTCTGCTGGGACATCCCTTTACAGTGGGGCTACTGGCCAAGGAAGTGATGCCCACCTGGACTGTCACATTTTTTCTCTGCAAGCCATTTAGAGTCATCTAATGAAGGGTTTCTTTTCTTTTCCTTTCTTTTCTTTGAGGAAGGGTCTCACCATGTTGCCTGGATTGTCCTTGAATGCAGGCCTCAAGTGATCTTCCTGCCTCAGCCTCTCAAGAAGCTGGGACACTAGGGCCATGCCGCTTTATTTTCAAGTACAGCTCTCATCAAGTACTGTCTACACAAATGCCGTGCCATGAACACTGACTGCAGGAAGTTTAACATGCAGCTTGCAGTGGGGCTTGAAGATGCTGAGGAAGTGCTCAGTGCTTTGGTAACTATGGAGGAGAGGACTCTGGGGTGGTGAGAGGTCTTGAGGGGTGAGTGTGTTGTATCACCAAAAGGAATAAACCTCTACCCGACAGCAAAGAGCATAAATGGCAGTCTGTCTCATTTTTGAACTTCATAAACTTCAAGACTCTTGGCCTTCAGAACTGTGAGCAATAAATTTTTCTTTATAAATGACCCATCTCAGATATTGTGTTATAGCAACAGAAAATGGACCGGGATGTAGTAAAAACCAGGAATTCATTCCTTCTTGTTGCCGAATAACATCCCACTGATAACACATGACGCATAATTCACTCATCCATCAGTGGTGTTTGGGTTTTAGCCATTTGATGTCTGTCTTCTTTGGAGACCTGTCCATTGTAAACAGGTGATGCTGAAAGGCACAGTCCTGCCATCCTTCCTCCTGGTGAGGCACATGGTCAAGGGGATGAAATTTCCTGTTCTGTGGTCTAACCAAATGCTCTTTCCCACAGCCATATAAATACACAGTCTAGACCCAGGCCCTTCTGTGTGGCAGGACAGTCTCCTCTGCTGCAGCTGGATTATCTCTCCAGAGTCATCAAGTGTGGACTGGGCCACACAGCACCTCTGTCATGATTGGGACCTAACTTATCATCGGGAGGTCTTCTGATGAGGCACACGTACTCCGAGACTGCTCTGGGTCCCCAGAAATGGCTCCTACCCAGCTGTAAGGGGTTGAATGGTGGGCCCCCAGAACCTGTGAATATGGCCTTACTTAGAAAGTGGTTTTTGCAGACAGAGGGAAGGTAAGAATCTCAACGTGAGGCCATCCCAGATTACCTGGGGGAGCCCTAAACCCAGTGGCAAGGTCCTTGTTATGGTTTGTATGTGAACCGTCTGCCAAGAAGGCTCAGGTGCTGAAGACTTGGTCTCCAGCTGGTGGATCAGTCACCAGCAGTGACTGTATCATGAGGGCTCTGACCTAACCAATGGATTAATCCACTATGGATTCACAATTTGATGGCATTATAGGGACCTGATGGAACCTTTCCAAGGTAAAGGTATGTTCCTGGAGGCTGTATTTTGTTCCTTCTCTGTCCCTCTGTCTCCCCCCCCCCCCCGCACACCCTGCTCCTTCCATCCACCATGAATTGAGCAGCTCTGCTCCATTATGGCCTCTCCACCATGCTGCTCTGCCTCACCACAGGCCCACAGCAACAGGGCCAAGCGACCATGGACCTCTTAAACCTTCCTTCCTTTTAAATGATCTCCCAAGTATTTGTCACAGTGATGAAAATTGACTAACACAGTCCTTGTAAGAGAAAGGGAAGGACACACAGAGAACACCATGTGAAAATGGAAGCAGAGACTGAAGTGACGTGTCTAGGAGCTGAAGAACACTTGGGGTCTCCAGAGGCTGGAGGAAGAAGGGAACAGGTTCAACCTCAGGGCCTCCAGAAGAAGCCAGCCCTGCTGATACTTGGATTTCTGACTTCTGGTCCTCTGATCTGTGAAAGAAAACATTTCTGCTGGTAAGTTGTGCTACTGATCACAGCAGCCATTCACAACACTCTCTCCCACCCCACTCCACAGGTCTGCAGCACAAGCAAGTAGGAGGAGGGGTTTGCCTTGCCCTGTGTTGTTTTGGGGGACTGAGAAGTGTGCAGTGAGAGGCAAGTCCTGCACACTTGCCTTGAGCATCAGCCTGGCCTGAGGCCCAGAGTTTGCCCAGCTGCCTAGTCCACAGACAGGCGGGTCCCTGGATCCAGGCTCACATATTCCTGAATCATTCTTGGGGAGCCAAGGGATTCCCTACAGGCACCACCCCTCTTTTGGGGCCCTCTGTTTTGGCAAATTTCCCATCAATGCAGGTGGACAGGGCAGAACAGAGGTAGCTAGTGTGAGGGGAGCAAATGGCAACAGTGACTTTGTCTTAGATAAGGAAAACAGGAAGACAGCCTTACAAGTAAACATTTCAGGAGACTGAGAAGCAGGCCTCTCACCAAGATCCTAAAATACAGCAGTCTTTCTCCTAGATGAGAAGACAGGGAAGCATTGCTGAAAACACTCAAAAGAAATGAGAAACAGGCTCCTCAAGGAACACAACACAGCAAACTCCCACCATAAAGAAAAATGGACTTAAAAAATGTGAATCGTGGGCCTTAAGGCCAGGACGAGCTGACCAGACCATCCTGGAATGGCCAGTTCAATAAGGATGGAGTAGCCAGGTGGTTGGGTTCAGTGAGAAGTCAACTAAAACGACATCCAATCACAAACTAGTTTCAAAGGAGAATAGGAGAACCTAAGCCAGGCAGAATCCTATATCATCTCCTAGACTTCAGCCATCAGGGTGCTTTGCTATCCTTCAATAAACTTTGTGCTTGCTTTGCCCTTAACTCCTGGTTCGGCATCTTCAATCATCGACTGCACCAGAACTCAAACTCAGGATCAACTATTCAGTTTCACTTGGGTCCAAATCACACAGGGAGATGCAGAAACAGGGCCTGAGTGAACAACTGACCTGCAGGGAAGGGACATGATCCCCAAGCTGCACTGCTGGTGTGGTTTGAACGTGAAATGTCTCTGACAGTTCATGTGCTGAAGGTTTGGTCCCCAACACAGTGTTCAAACCCGGGGCTTTGGGGACATGATTGAATGGTGAGGGCTCTGACCTCATTGGTGAGTTAATCCATTGGTGGATTCCTAAGTTGATGGCACTGTTGGTGGAAACTGGGAGGGGTGCCCAGTTGGAGGAGGTAGGTCCCAGGGGCGTGCCCTTGGAGCGACCTTGTCCCAGTCCCTTTTTCTCTCTCAGCTTCCCAACTGCCATGAGGTCAGCAGCTGTGCTCCACATTCTCTCCACCATGATGTTCTGCCTCGCCTCAGGCCCAAAGTGGTGGAGCAGTCAACCTCTGAGATGGTGAGCCAGAATAAATCCTTCCTTCTTGAAGATGTTTTTATTGAGTATATTGTCATAGTGACACACACTGACTAACACAACTGTCTTGCCCTAAGGGAGGTTTCTCCTCAATCCTGGCTGCCACCCCCGGCTCCCCTGGGCTGTAGCACTGCCATGGGACCCTGGGTGGCATGCCATCTGGGCATATTGGGTCGCTGAACCTTTCTGCCTGCCCCTGGGAGGAAGGACAGGCACCACACCCTGCCTCAGTCCATGCAGAGCAGGTGTGGGTCACTTCCATCATTACACGTAATGCAGAGCTGCAGTGGTTCCATCAGGAGGACACGGTGCCCACTGTCCACCACAGTTCCCGGGAAAGGAGACTTGCATCACAGCCTGAGGCGAAGCTCGACCATCCGGTGCATCTCGTTGCTCAGATCCATCAGGCTTTAAATGTGAGCGACTCAGAGATGGGGACAGTAGGGGAAGGTGGTCTGGGGGTGAGGGGATGGGATGGTGGCAGGGAGAGGGCAGGGGAGCCCTAAAAATGCACAGCAGTTCCTAGGCACACACGCCTAGCTGCCACCTGGCCCCTCCAGTTGCCAGGGGCAGAGCCAGGGCTCAGGTTCACCGTTGCTCACACTCGCCCTGTTCACATCCTTCTCTCATATTGTAGTTGTTGTCTAATAACCAAGTGTAGGCCCTGGACTAGGGTGGGGCCATCTTTGACAGCCCAGGTGGGAGAGACAATTGGATGACCCCATCATTCTTTAAAAACAGCCATCCTGAGAGAACACCTGCGCTGGCTGTGAGCATCCTCAGAGGACAGAGACCACAGGCAAATAGTCCAGCCAGAGCCTGTACTCTGTCTGAATGCATTCTTAGAGGAAAAACTGTAGATGGATATTCAACATATGGCAGAAGAGAATCAAATGGGCTCTGCAGAGCCACAGCTCAGAGTAGATGCTCCAGGCAGAGAGAGAAATCCAGAAAGTAAGAGTAAGACGAACTCCCTTTACCAATGCCGCAAATAATTAAGACTGTTCCAGACTTCCCGGCCAAACTGACAAGAACTGAACAACCCTGCCTGGAGTGGCAGTACTGTAGTCTCAGTGGCTACGGCAGGAACTGGAGGCCAGCGTGGGCTATACAGTGAGAACCTGACTCAAAACACAAAACAAAATGAAAAAAGAACCAAACACCCCAGGGGCTCCTGTGCTCTGCTCTCCTGTGTTCCATTCCGTCCTGCCTTCCAGCAGGTAACCTACCCACCTGCCACCTGCCTGGGGCACAGAGGTGAAACAGGCTCTTCTGCTGTGTGTTATCAGCACCTCCCACCCCCTGCCTGGCTGCTGAGGAGCCACCTACTCAGTCTGGGATGGAGCCAAAGGGGGGGATCCCCAAGAGCCAGACTGGGCTAAGTGTCTGTACCAGACCTCAGCCCACATCCATGAAGGAGCCCAGCTGATGGGCTCTGGTGAGAA